ATTCCTACCTCCCACAACTCTACTCGCCAAACCCTTAACCAACTTAACTTCTTAAGTTGTCCCACTCCTCTGCTCAAACCTCCTACCGAACCAAGCGTTAGTAGGGAGAGAATGAGAAAGCTGGATTATCCCTTTTCTGTTTAAACTTATTTATAGTAGAGATATTACATGTTATATATTGTATTGAGATACATTATAACATCACCATGTGGTACCTTACTTCTTAAGTTCTTATTATTGCCCCTCACCCTCTCCTCAAATCTCCTACCGAACCAAGTGTTAGGGTGAGAATGAGAAAGCTGGATTAGCCCTTTCCTGTTTAAGTTTATTTATAGTAAAGATATTTCATGTTATATATTGTATCGAGGTATATTATAACACTACTATGTGATACCTTGTATCTGGATATATGACCACACCATGTGATACATTCTATCTAGACACATAAAAATTCCACCAAGTAGTACATATATCTGGACACACCTGATTTCTCTAGATATATTACAACACCACCATCTTTTATATTATAACTGGGCATATGACCTTTCTCTAGACACATAGAAACATGATAGTCCCATGATGTGGTATAGTGTATCTAGATGCACTTGATTTCTCTTTACTCCCCTCAATCCGGAGCATGTCTTACGTGCGCAACTCGTCACTTAAATGCGAAAAACTTTTCTTGAAAAAAGCCATCACTCTTGAAAATGCTCATGGTTTGTATCCAATATTCGACAACAATCATCGTCAAAATTTTGACACCAGATGCTTGTAAGAAAAAGTAACTAATAGTAATATGAAAATCTAGAAGATCAAAAAGATCTTATGACTCAGACAAACAAATAAAAGATTCTCCAACATTGATATGGACGTGGAGCCAAAAGATAGAATCTCTTACATGGAGACAAACTTTAGGTTCATCGACATGGAGACAAACAACAGGGTCTTCAACATGGAGGCAAACAATAGGATCTCCGCTAGGGAGCCAGACAATAGGATCTCTGACATGGAAAAAATATTAAGATCTTTGAAAACAAGGGAGAGGTCAACTAGCGAATGTGTGCGTGTAAAGAGGGTTCTGAAGGAAAATCATAAAAAAGACTATTGTGGGTTGGAAGTTGATGAGAGTGATTGTCGCCATGCCTTCTGAGGAAAGCGTAGATCCTCCCATTGTTGAATGGACATGGGGCAGGGTTGTAATAGACGACATAAATTATGTGCTAAAGAGGAGAGTTTCGAGACCGTTAGGAATCGCCACGCAGAGGTTGAATTTTGAGGATATCTCACGAGGATATCTCGAACAAAAGGGATTAGAAGAGGAAGCAATGTGAGACTCTTCAAAATGATCCTGCAGAGGAGGAATTTAAGGTGATAGACTGGATTAGTCATCGAAGGAGACCGTCGAGGAAGAAAACATGAAACCCCATGGCGGTTTTGAGGTTTAGGAAAAAGAGACAGGTTCTCTAGGTTTAGAAACTTGCTCTAATATCATATTGGAGTAGAGAGAGAAAATGGGAGACCTTAATTTAGCTTGCTTCCCTTTAATCTTACAGTAAAGGATTACATATGATATTGTATCTAGACGAACTACGACACCACAATGTGGTACAGTGTCTAGATAAATGACAACTCCACCATGTGATTCAATGTATCTTGGTACAACAATTTCACCATGTGATATGGTACGTTGTATCTGGACACACCCGATTTCTGTACAGTGCCAAACTTCATTAATTCATCAATGAAATTGAAATTGGTAACAGTTTAAAACAATATGTAATTTTCTTGACAGAAAAAGCCAACAAATTTCTTTTGTTTCTATCCTTGAACTTGCTTGTTTGGACCGTAAAGCATTACTATTTTTCGTAGTTCATGTACCATGTCTGACGCATGTTAGACAGCAACCCTCCTTGGTTATGCCATGATTCAGGAATATGACAGACCCAACCAAGAGTTTAAGTCATAGAAAACTACTATTTCTCTTTTGCTTTTCAAAGACTTAAATAAAACTGTTCATTAATAATAGCTGGAGAGTTTTAATTGGATTGCTTATCTATAATTTAGTTTGATTTATTAGGTTCTGGAATTAGTTCAATTTGTTAGGAAGTGTGGAATTAGTGTTGATGTGATTTATTTAGTTAAGTTGTTTAAATTGGTTCGGAAATCAAAGATTGGACTTAAATAATCCGTTTCTATTTTTTGTACACATTGTAAAGCATTTAAATATGGCTGCTCCTGGGGTTGTCAGTTTGCAGAAGTTCAATGGGTGAGTTGTTTGTAAGGCTGAGCAGGTTGTCATCCAGTTCCCGTATTTCCTCTCTCTGCTGTTTCTGTTTTTTTTCCTGCCCTGTACTTGTTCAAGTTTTGAAGATCTCATTGATTTTCCTTTTGTTGATTAATCTGGCACAAGGAGATACTTTTATAGAACATTCTCCTTTCTTTTTTAGTAGTACAGATATTCATGTATTTGCAAACTAGCAGAATTCACTGTTTTTGCAAACATTGGCAGGTAGCTTCTGGATTGTTTGGTTTGATATGCCAACGAACCGGTGATGAATTATTGTTAATTGTAAATTGTAAATATGCATTTCATCCAGAGCATCAGTGCAAGTAGTTTTATTGTTTTTAAAATATTTGCTGTGCCACCAATTGTCCAATTTTCTCGTGCGCCACTATATCCACCTGTTGCTTTTACCATCCGGTTTTTGGTTTAAAAAAAGAATGGAAAAATAGAGTCTGCTCATCACATTTATATGTCTACATTATATATTTATCTATTTTCAAAAAGTATTTCCAGAACTTTCCTGAATTCTTTGAGACCTCTAAGAGTTACTGAATCATCCCCAACCACTGATTCTAAGAGTGTAATGTATATAACTATGTATTCTATTGACTGTCTTCATATTACGCTGGGAAAATCTGTAAGTCTTCCCATGATATAACATAACATGGTTAAAGTCTTCCTAGTTTTTGTACGCTTTAGGCCTACAAATCATATAAAGCGGACAAGGATTTCTTTAATAGTTCATCTTATGACTTTGATAAATTAAAAATGTGGTTAAGCTGAATTTCTGAAAGGGTAGTCCTCCAAATGGTCATACATACATCTAATAAATTTTAGACATGTTCACAAATTTTTAGTTCTAAGGGGCTAATCAATTGGTCAACAGGTCAGTACAATGATTATGTCATCGAAATTTCACGACTTGATAATAGGTGGAGTTTCTCAAACTTGTTCCGTGTTGTCTAACAAGCTTTTACGTCTAAAAGACGTAAAAGCTCTGAAGGAGACTAAGTGCCATCATATTTTCAGGGTTTTGAAAAGTTCACTCGAACAATGATATATTCTCTTGTAACTATTTTCTTGGGTTGGGCTGCTAATTTCTCTAGTCTCAGCAATCAACTGTTGTTAGAAATGAAGAACACATGCTCATGTTGCTATGCTATCATTACCTCCAACTGATCTACTTTTTTGTTAATGCAGCGGAACTATCGATTCTTTTATATGTTTGTTTTCTCCACAACTCTGCTTTGCATTTATGTCTTCTCCTTCTGCTGGGTCTATATCAAAAAAATTATGGATGCCGATCAGACTACAATTTGGAGAGCGATGACGAAGACTCCAGCTTCCATCGTTCTCATAATCTACAGTTTCATAGCAGTATGGTTTGTGGGAGGCCTCTCTGTCTTCCATTTATATCTCATGAGCACCAACCAGGTAAATTTTCTTCTTCCCGAATTAAATCACTTCTTTTCTATATGCGGAAATTGCAGATAACCTCCCTAATTTACATTTTCATTATATTAGCGCTAAACACCACTAGATTGGTAATTTTAGAAGATTAAACTGTGGACAACCCTACTTGTCCATGAATTTAGGGGTGATAATTGCTAATGAATAAATTGAAAATTGATAAGTGTTACTAAAGGTACAGATGAGGGAGGTTATCTGCAATTTACCTTTTCACATTTATCTTATGACTAAATCCAAACTATTTTTTTTTGGGCTCCAATTGAAGACAACTTATGAGAACTTTAGATACCGATACGATCGGAGTTCTAATCCATACAACAGAGGAGTGTTTGAAAACTTTAAAGAAGTCTTCTTCACAAGCATCGCACCCTCTAAGAACAAGTTTCGGGCAAGGGTCCAGAGAGACGAAGGGTTAGATGTGAGGCCAGCGGATGGTGGAGGTTTTATGAGCCCGAACATGGGGAAAGGGGTTGGGGATATTGAAATGGGGAGAAAGGCAGTGGCATGGGATGGAGATGTTGGAGGAATGGGAAGTGATTTAGAGGGAGGCGTTAACAATGAAATGTTGGAAGATAAAAATGCTATCGGATTTCCTGGTTCTTCACCTGATTTTAATCAAGTTATGCAATCGGATGCTACAGAAGGGAGAATAGCGGCGAGCTCGAGGAGGGGGAGCTGGGGCCGGAGAAGTGGTAACTGGGAGATGCCACTGGAGATTCTTGGATTAGAACGGGTGAATGATGGAGTTTGATAGGGTTTTGTGGAAGTTGGCTTGAGTTAAACTTAGGGTTTGATGATTTGGGGTGGCTTGAGAAGGTAAAATTATTTCAGTAGGCTCTATCCTTAATTTGTATGGCTGTGATGATTGGAAAAGGATTGAGCATAATTGTATTTTAGTGATGGCTCATTAGTGTTTCCTTTGTTGCTTCTTTGTGTACATTTTGATGTAGTTCTCCGTTGCTGTAGTTCTCAATGGCTTTGGTTTGTGGCTTTCCTCCAAATCCCAAGTGTTTTAAGTGTGTCATATCTCTTTTGCTCTGTCTCTCCTCTCATCTTTCTCACTTAAATTTATTATTATTATTTCAGATGGTTTATAAGATGTTGAAGCTGTATTGAAATTATTTGTTGCAGCTGGACTAAAGCCTGCTGGAATTTTCGTTTTGTTGTTCGACTTTATTCTATTTTAGTTTTTGACTTTTTTTTTCCCGTAGAATAATATTTTAGTCTGACATAATAAATATCAAATGTTCTTGAAGGCCAGACAAAGGTGATATAATCACAGGATATGAATATTGGGATTCTACGCAAGTCACTCCTAAACTTTTTTTAATTGAATTTTACACGTTGGTGTTATGATCTCTAATGTTTTTTTTATCTTCGAGTGGGCCTCAGATATATGAAGTTTGATGTATCTGTTCTCATTACATTTTTGTGAATAGTTTAAGTATGATATTGTTTGATTTTCCAAGTTCTGCTTAAATTCTGGTTGTGGAAAACTTATTAGTTCTTTCTATTTTTTCAAATTATCTCTATTCAAGGGATTGGATTACAACTAAGAGGAGTAACTAAATATAGAGCTTCTTATTAAGTGAAATATTGAATAAAACGCCTCACTCGACCCATATTTTATTAGTTAGCAGGTATTTACATCCCACTGCCCTCAGGTTTATTACTAGCGGGGGAGGAACAAAAAAAAAAAAAAAGCTAATTCTTATTAAATAACTTTTTCCCAGAAGATAAATTCTGATTTCTCTGTAGTGACTCATTGGTTGTACCCTTCGTATGTTCATTTCACTGTGGAACTCACATGATCATATAAAACTACTTCAAGCATTTCTCTATTGAAAAGAGACGGATCTGAAGACATAAAAAGTGCATGAATCCGTATGAATTTACTTTTTATTTTTGAAAAAAAGAAAAAAGAAAAGATGGGCAACAATAATCTCCAGTCCATCTGGTCTTTCCATCAACTGGAGTCCCTTCAAGGTGAATATTAATTCCCGCAAGGTTAACATTATACGGTACATCGCTTACTGTCAATAATCTTTGCTATAAGAGGAGTTGGCCACGTAATCGTACGTGCGTCTCTTCTGCGACAAACAATCCAAATTCTAACCGCATCTTCCTCGATCTGGTGCCTTTGTGCTCCTGGCATCTGGATTCCTACTCTCGCCAACTATATACCCCACTCCCACCATATGACATCAACATGTGAGGATTCTTGGCGTCGTAGCACTCCAGTACGTCTCCACCGCCAATAAACTCTGAGATCCGTACACCCTTTGTCCTCAGGTTATAGGCAATTTTCTTCTTGATATGGCAGACATCGTCCTGCACGAATAGACAACTGACTCGAAGCACTGTGAACCTCTTGAATCAAGAGGCTATATCAGTCCGTTTTGCTTCCTATATTTTCCTCTTTTTACTAGTGCGTTGCACGGACCCCCTTTTTTCTTACCCACACAGTAAATTTATTTAAAAAATAGTAGCATTTTTTGTAAATGCTACAGTAATAAAAAAAAACGATAGAGTGCTTTGTTTGTGCGAGAGTAATAATACTATAGTGATTTACTGTAGCATAACTGTAGTATTTACTGTAGCAAAAAATATTGAATCTTTAGATCCTCCTATAAGTATAGAGGAGTAGATAACCCGCTATTGAACTTCTTCTCCCTTTTCTAGTCAGTAAATTTGCGAGGCCCTTTGCCCCGGTTTCTTAAAAGGTAAATCAGGTCTACTAAGTATCTTATTTTGAGAGGAACATAATGTTCTTTTGTTGTGTTTGAGTAAGACAACGCTTGAGCATTATTCCTTCATGTAACGGGTTAAGTGAGAAGTTAAGAAGACTTAAACTATTGTTAACTCGTTAAACACAAAAAATCTATATATGGGTTAAAGTGAGTTAACTCTCTATAATTTGTCAAACGAAAAAAATGTAGAATAATTAAGTTAACCCTTCTAGAGGGATTAAAATGAGTTAACCCCTCAAAATGAGAGGTTTAGTAATACTCTTATTTAGAAGGATTGAAAGTTAATTTTTCTATTTATAAAAAAAAAAGTCAAAATCCACGTTATTTCCAAACACTAAAAACGATCACAATGGATAAAGTAAAACTTATTTAACATGTTAATAATTTAGTCATTAGGGTTATGGATGAGCTAACCACGTTAATCATTCTCTGTAATCCATCTTAACCCTTTGTCAATGGGGGCCAAAATAAGCTCTTTAGATATAATGCAATTTAAGTATCATTTATTGTAAATTGCCATAAAGTACCTTAATTATGTGAATAGTCCCGCATGGGAGAATCAATAGTTAAAAGGCCAACTAACGGTTGCTTATGTGAGCAACGACATATCATTAATTATTGTACGATATATATGAAAAAAATGTATCTTTTATATTGGAGTAAGATATTTTGGATTATAGCAATTGGAAATATAATAAGATCGAGCTTAATTAGCAACTAGAAGTACATGTTTACGTTGCATGGGTGATCAGACTGGACATTTGGTCTAGGCCTGCAAATACGAGAAACGGGCCAAATCAACGTTTAACCCTTCGAATTTATTGTTAGTTAAGGCTCAAAATCAAATATATCTGCTTCCTTCTTTATAGCCTAGCCCTTCGAATTAATTGTTAGTTAAGGCTCAAAATCAAACAGAGCATATATATATAGTCCGCTTCCTTCTTTCGCCATGTATTTTTATGCACAGCTTGTATATATGCATAAGCATTCTCTTCACGTTTTGCAAAATTTTTAATTTAACATGTATCTCATCAGTCTAATAAGCCCATTCGGCTGCACTTTCTGAACCGTGGAAGAATCATAGACTAAGCAATGAAATGAACTTTATTAATGATAAGCGGATACTAATTAAACAAATTATTACAACAGCACATAATCTCCTAGTGAGGCAGGATGTCATCTACTACGTACAGCTAATTAAAATGCATAATAAAGTCAGTCTTTCTCTCTCTCTCTCTCTATATCTCTCTCATGCAAAGTGTTTTCATATATGCCAACTCATCAATGGAGTGGACTAAACACTTGCATTCCTTACACTAAAATCACTACACCACATTCATCTCGATCCCCTCCTTGCCTTCCTCTTTGTTACCATCATCTTTTTTCTTCCCCTCCTCCGCCGTCGTCTCTTCTTCATTAACTATGACAGCATCAAACATCTGAGGAGCAACTTGTGACTCACTAATTTTTGGCGTCGAGACCGTAGGCAATTTATCATCTTTAATCGCGAGTTCCTTCGCGTCCTTGTAGATTATGTAGAGAACCATCTGGACCACACCAAAGATGAACCCTAGAATGTTTGGTATCTGTTTAAGGACAAGTAATTGTAAGAACAAGAAGTTAGTAGAATATACGTGTGTGTGTGTATACAAACTTATAGTTAAAAAAAAATTATAGTAAGATAAAATTATAGTTTAAAAAAATTACCGCGACATAGATGTCCTTTGTGAATAGACCGTAGGAGAACCACACAACCGCACTTAATGTGAGGAAGAACGAGAGGGAGAAC